CTTTTATTAAAAGTAGTTGTTTGGAAAACAGGTCTGTAACCACCCAGATGACAGTGTTTCCATTGCTTTCTGGTAATTCCACTATAAAATCCATGGATATTTCTTTCCAGGGGGCTGAGGGGCTGGTTGTAACAGTCTGGGCGATTTCCCTTGCAACCTCTTAGCAGCTGCGCAAGTTGGGCAGCTGGTCACGTAAACTTCTATGTCCTTTTTCATGGACGGCCACCAAAATTGCCTTTTAATTAAATGTAATGTTTTTACAAATCCAAAATGCCCTGCTGATTTTGTATCATGGCATAGCTGCATGAAAATGACCCTCTGGGTGGCTGGTATATATAACGTCTCCCCCACCCATGGCAGTCCATCCTTGATGGTACACACGTGTCTATTTTTTTGGAACCATTCATCTGTTTCTAAAGTTTTCCGGAATTCGATTCCAGTTTGGCTACCCAGCTGTGGCTTCATTTTAGCTTGGGCCGTGGTGGTTACTAGTGCTGCCAGTTGTGATTTAGGCATGAATGGTTTAGAACCGGTGGCTCGCATGCTGTTATATTGGGACATGCGAGACAGTGCATCTGCCAGGAAGTTCTTTCTACCCGGCAAGTGTTTGAGTGTAAAAGGGAATTGCTGAAAATGCTGGGATCAGCGGGCTTATTTGGGAGTGAGCTTTCTGGGTGTTTTTAATGCTTCCAAGTTTTTGTGGTCCGTCCAGACCTGAAAAGGGATTTTATTCCCATCAAGGAAATGGCGCCATGTAAGTAACGACTATCTCACAGCATACGCCTCATTTTCCCACACGGTAATACACTTCCCTTAGGTCTAGTTTAGTGAAAATTCTTCCTTTCGACAGGTAGGATAACATGTCCTTCATGAGGGGTAGGGGGTATAGGTTACTTTCACTGATTGCATTCAGGGCGCAGTAATCCAAGCACAAGCGCAAAGTACCATCCTTCTTCTCTCTAAAGAGGACCAGGGCGGCTACTTTAGGCTTGGCAGGTTCGATAAATCCCCTTTCTAGGTTTTTATTTATGAACCTTTCCATCTCCTTCTCTTTAGACCTCATGGAGTATAGTCTGGGCTTTGGGAGTTTTTCCCTGGGTTTGAATTCTATGGCACAATCCGTGGGTCGGTGAGGGGGGAGCTCATCCACCCGTTCCTCACTGAAGACTTCAGCAAGGTCTCGGTATTCCTCCGGTATTTCGGTAAACCCTTTCCCTCTCCCACCGACGCTTTCTCTGCTCCTGGGCTTCATAGGGCTCTTTGGGGTGTCCAGTTCGCACAATCCCCCTTCAGGAAATTGAGCTCTGCCATCCTCCAATTTATCTAGGGGTTCCATTTCTTTAGCCACTCCAGCCCTAAGATCACTGGGCATTCCATGCCTGGGGGTCACTACAAATGTTATGTCTTCCTTGTGGTTCCCCAGGGATAGGTGGATTGGTAAAGTGGCAAGGGTAGCTGGCAACCCCCTGTTATGGACCCATCTAACTGGCCGAACGAGATCGGTTGTTTCAGTCTCCTCACTGGGATGCCCAAGTTCCCCACTAGCGTCGGGCTAATGAGGCAGCGGGTGTGGCCAGAGTCTATTAAGGCTTTCACTTTGACAGCTTCAGGCATGGAGGGGGCTAATATAGTCACTGTCTTGAGGATGGGTGTGATGGGTCCACTTACCAGGGGTTCGCCCTCCGAGCTGTCATCCGAGGTATCCGCTGCCCCTGTGATTTAGGCCAGAGTTCCTTCCCCATGCGCTGAGGGGCTTTCAAGTGGCATTCTACAGTGCAATGCCTCTCTCTCCCGCATTTGAAACAGCCCATTGACTTCTTGGCCATAGCCCGTGGTTTTGCTGGCTCATGCATTGGCTCAGGAGGCGAGTAGCCCCATGGTTTTCCTCAGCGGTGCCTCTTCAGTAGGTCGATCTCTGCTTCCTCCACCAGGACGTACCATTTGTCAAGTCAGCGTGTGTCCCCATGAGGCAGGCAGGCATCATACATGTTGTAGTTTAGGCCGTCTTTGAAATGGCTAAGGATGATGTCTTCCGGCCAGCTTAGCTTGTTGGTGATGGCCCAGAATTCTTGTGTATACTCAGCTACCGGGCATCTGCCCTGCCTCACCGTTTTGATTCTCTTGCAGGCTTTTTGATCAGCCAGGGGGTCCTTGAATCGCCTTCTCAGGGAGGACATGAAGTGATTGATGTTGTAGAGCTCTGGAGCATTGGAATCATGCAGGTTCACCATCCAGTCTGCGGCTGCCCCATCCAAAGCAGATTGCACGATACGGATACAGGCTTTGTCGCTGGGGATGTCTCGCCTGTATTCTTCCATGTAGCTAAGAACTTGGGTTAGGAAGAACCCCAAGCGTTGCGACTCCCCCATGAATTTTGCATCCAGCGGCAGGAATCTTTGGATGGATCGGTGCCTTCGCCGCTGACGGTGTTGTCTCCCATCCTGATTGCCATCTGTGGGTCAGCGGGAAGTGGGGGCTGCCGAAACAGTAGCTGCTGTGTCCGTGGACGTCCCCGGGGCTGCAGTTTCTGATTCCCCCTCAGTGTCTCTCCGGTTGTAGCCCAAGGTGTTGGTGCGGCCCCGGGATTCAGGGTTCTCCTCCATGAGAGAGCCAAGGGTTCTTTTCATCAGGTCAATAGCTTTCTCTAGGATCCAGTTCAAGTGCTGCATGCGACCTCCTTCCTCTACGGTAAGGTGCAGGGATTTCTCCATCTCTTGCTTCCATCCAGGTTGGTGGTTGCTCCGCCTCAGGGTCACTTTCCTCGATACTTTTCCCCACTCGTCCTTCTTGCCAATGCCCATCAACCACTGAGGTTTGTGGTTGTGCATTTCCACCACTTCTTCTTCTGAGGAGTATGACGTTTCAGATCCTGACAACTGGCAGGATCCCTGCTGGAGGGAGGGCTCTCCTTTCATGGTGGGTTCTTCCTTCCCTGACCCGTTGTCCGACATTGTAGTTTTTGCAAAGTCCCCCGGTAAGGGTCTTCCTTCCGGGTTGACTATTACTGCAGATCCTGTCTAATGTAAGGACCCACTTCAACCCCACATCTTAAGAAAGCAGAACTCTTGGAGACGGTTTCCTCCAACAGGAACTTTTTATTAAAAGTAGTTGATAGCAGGCATAATAGACAGGATTTGAGGGATTCCTTACAGATCAATACTTTAAAGTGTCCCCAAGCAAACCCCACCCCACAGTTCATCTGGACGGTTCAAAACGGGCCAATCCCCAGGTGTTAAGTCCATCGTGGGAAAAGGGGAGATAACATCAATCCAGCTCTGGTTGCAGTGCGATGTTCAAGCGGCTCTTCGCACCTTCTTTTGAGAAATGGAGAGATAAGCCAGGCTCCAGAGGTTGTATTTCTTTCTCCTCCCCCCTTTTCCTAGCTGACAGGTTAGGGAGAAGAAAGTTCAGAGAGAGATATAGTGCAGGAAGCAAATTGTTACATTGTTGCAGGCAGCAGACACAGAAGCAATAAATGAAGTAAAAGGTTACATTGTAGCGAATAGAGGAAGCGAAAGCAATAACTCTGCAGGCACATCTCCCCTCCCCCTTGGGAGTATGGCAGAACCCAGGGAAGGGTGAGATTTGTTTTTAGATCAGAGGGGATAAATAGAAATGAAATAGAAATGGGTTCTGACATTCTGCTTGAGTTGAAAGTACAGTTTTCAATTGGCAACTGATGTCTGATCCCAAAATAGTCAGTTTTTAGCATGCTTTTCTAAAAATGTAAATGGTATATCAAAACAAGTCAAATATATTTTATTATGACGATCATGGACCAGCATGTTAAAGAAAATAAAATCAGAAAGATAAAATTAATGAGTTCATATTGATACATTTGCATTATTTTTGCCATTGTTTTCACTGCAACCACACAGAATTTAGTCACTGACTTGGTGATAGTATGGTTGGAATCTGAAAGATGAAGTTCGGGGTAATATATATTCTTCAGTCCTTCCTGGAAGATGTTTCAACAGGATATTATGTAATCAGTGCAAATATGTAAAAATTGCAGTAAAACAACACATGTTGGTTGATTTCTGTTTTCCCAGAGTTATATGCATAAGCCAGTGATGGCGAACCTTTAAGAGACTGAGTGCCCAAACTGCAACCCAAAATCCACTTATGCATCGTCAAGTGCTGGGTGGGTGTGGTCCATTGGCTGGGTGTGGCCAATTGGGTGGGCATGGCTGCAGTGATAATGGCAGACTGGGTGGGACTAAAAAGTTCAATCAATTCCAACTTTGCAAGATATTTTTTTTCCTGTGAGAAGTTGAAATTGAACCTTTTTCTTTTTTTTGCACATGGTGGCGGAGGCCTAAAGCGAAAAGGTTTTATAAAACCAAGCTGAAGGCCTAGGACTGGGGTGATGGTGCGCGTGCCCACAGAGAGGGCTCTGAGTGCCGCCTCTGGCACCCGTGCCATAAGTTCGCCAGCACTGGCATAAGCTATATATAATATGTAGTTTTGATCTTTAATTCAAGTGTTATGCATTGTTTGAAATAGTTCACAGACACAGAATATTAAACAGACGTCTTTCTGAGTTTCAGAGGTATTGATTCAATGTAGTTACCATGTATGCATATCTATTTTGGGGGGCTAATGCTAATCTAATTAATACTTGACACTAATAATATGATAACAATTGGCACTGGTTAAAACAGGCAATATTACAGCCATATATTGATTGTTACCTTGCAGATTTAGAACTGCAAGCCCACCTGCTAAATAAGATGCGGTAGAATTATGTCAAGACAGGTGTATTCAAGGCAGTTGTTATTGTATTTTCAATTACAAACCCTAGAAGAGCCAATTTCACAAATCATGTTTCTGATATAAAAGCCATTTTTAAAATAGCAAGCCAAAGTATTTTATTAATTGTTATTTGGTTAGAAGGATATACACCTGTTGTTTTAAAATCCATTTCAGAAATTACTTATTGGAGGCCTTCAAGATGAATTAACTATACCATTATGAAGCACTGGCATTTGCTTTTACAGATTCAGTAACAACAGCTTCTGGACCTCTGCTTGTCGAAGTTACCAAAACCGCTGGTTCTGCTCTGGGCGTTGCACTATCTACCTCAATGTGTTGCAGCAAGCAAGTCATTGTTATAGATAAAATAAAATCTGCAAGTATAGGAGATAGGTGAGTTGTAGTGCACCCTGTTATGTCATTCATCTGCATACAAAACATATGGAAACATAACCTGGCACTCAGAAGAGCAATTCACATACTCAGAGTATGGATGGCAGAACCATCAGAAAGAACTAAATTGTAGATAGGTCATATTTGTAAACTCAAAACCTCAGATCCAAAGTTGCTTTCTCTCAGGAAAGTCATTCCTTTCCAAATATCTGCTAAAACTTTAATGCTACATTTCCTTCAAAAAATTCCAACTACTTAGTTGAGTTCAATTTGTGCTCCTTTCAATCTGTGCAATTCTTTGGTGAATTGGAAAATACTCTTTGAAAAAAGAAAAGGCAGTTGGGAGCCTGCATTATATATACTGCTCAAAAAATAAAGGGAACGCAAACCCCTTCAGTTCCATGGTAAAATGTTCCCTGGTGACTATATGACACCATTTTTAAAAAAGAGACTCTTGAGATTTCTGGGAATTATAGACAAAGCCAAACTGGTAGAAATGGTAATCAAAATTATTTTTTTTCTGAGCACATTGAAGAAAAGCCTTACCAAATAAAAATCAGCATGGATTCCATAAAAGTAGTCCTGTCATACCAGTCTTGTAATCAAATAAAGAAAAATTCTGAAAGAAATAACTGTAAATGATGTACTTCAAAATCATAATGGACTATTTTGAAATGTTTTCTTTTTTTCCCATAGATGTGGTGCATTACATATAGGTGATCATATTCTGTCTATTGATGGTACTAGCATGGAATATTGTACTTTGGCTGAAGCAACACAATTTTTGGCTAATACTTCTGACATTGTCAAACTAGAGATCCTTCCCCATCATCAGACACGTCTTGCACTTAAAGGACCAGAACATGGTAGGATGATTATATTTTCATTATGTTTATTGAATTATTTTCACTTAGCTAGAAATACTGTTTGAGTTCATTGGGACTGGCTTGGAATAAATGTGCTTAAAATGAATAGAATTTAATACTGAGGTGAAATCAGTCGGGAGAGTGGCTTTACTTATGTGAGAGAGGTGCTGAAGACTTGCCCAAAGATATGCATATAATTTTATTTTTATAGGTACCTATAATCAACAGGTGTTTTACTCCATGCTGCCCTAACTATCTTATTTATCTTTGTTATATGCAACAGTGTAGTTCTGTGCATACTGAATATTCCTCTGAGTATAAATTTGGAATCATTTTCAGCCAATATAAGACTGTTAATATTTAGAACTTGGTTAATAGGACTTTGGTTGATACAAAGCAGCTAAAATTAAATTTGCTGAAACAAAATTTCATGTTACTGTGTTAGTAGCAAGCATATTGCTTAGCTATCCAAGGTGAATTAAGAGAATTAATAACATTTTCTTGACCAAAGCAGTAATAACTACATGTTAACACCTTAATTAATAAATCAAAAGATTTGGGGTGAAGTGGAATGCAAGTTAGGATAGTAATTATAACTAATTACTCACAATAAACAGGCATTAACAGGCAAGAAGAAAGGAAATATCACATGAGAGGAATACTTGTTGCTCTTGTATTTCTCACAAAAAACATTTTGATATTACAATAAGACTGGAGAATAAAGTAATAACTTTGGTTTTAAGAAAGAGTCAATTGCACAGTGAAAATGTTTTTTTAAACATTATACTTGAGAAGATGCAAGATGATAGAAAAGAGTTATGGGGAAACTTTTTCAGTCCCAGCATCCTTTGTGCACAATTTTCAGATTTTGGTATAATTTCTACATTCCTATTTGTGGTGCTTTCCTTGAAATATCAGTGTTCATAATCATAAAATGAATGTTCACAAGTAGAAATGCTTTGCTGCAAAATGTACATTAGAACAGGGGAAGCATATTTATGGACTAGGCATAATCCAGTTAATTCAATGTGAAATGCATGAATAGAGATGGTGTCTCTTTTCATTCAGAAAGTGCTCAATCATTGCCATTCCTGGATGATTAAATCTGGCAAGTTTTTACTGGTCAAGAGAGTTGATCAGTCCCTCTCTGACTGTGTATCAGTTGCCATCTGCTTAAGAAGGCAATTATAATATTGTTACTGCAAAAATCCTTTGATTTGGAAGATCTTTGTAATTATAAGTCAGGTTCAAGCATTCTGCTCCATGGGTAGAGTCGTTGAGAAAGTAGAGAGCCCCATAGGATTTAAATAAAACTAATTATCTGCACCCATTTCAGTCAGCATTTCATCTGAAATGTACTGAGAGTGATTCAATTGTACTGGTGAATGTCTGCTTCAGAAGCTAGAAATGCATGGGTACAGTATAGGTGGTACCTTGCTCAATAGTAGTAACTGTGAGAGGGATCTCGGAGTCCTAGTGGACAATCACTTAGATATGAGCCAGCAGTGGGCTGCAGCTGCCCAAAAAGCCAATGGTTCTAGGCTGCATTAATAAGGGATAGAATCAAGATCGCGTGAAGTATTAATACCACCTTACAATGCCTTGGTAATGCCACACTTGGAATACTGCATCCAGTTTTGGTCACCACGATGTAAAAAAGATGTTGAGACTCTAGAAAGAGTACAGAGAAGAGCAACAAAGATGATTAGGGGACTGGAGGCTAAAACATATAAAGAATGGTTGCTAGAATTGTGTATGTCTAGTTTAATGAAAAGAAGAACGAGGGGGGACATGATAGCAGTGTTCCAATATCTCAAGGGTTGCCACAAAGAAGAAGGAGTCAAGCTATTCTCCAAAGCACCTGAAGGCAGGACAAGAAGCAATGGATGGAAACGGGCTTCCGGTTTGTGCTCATGGCACTGGCGGCTATGCGGGGCAATCGGTCCCTCCACCGTCCGGTTTTCTCCCGCAGGGGGACCCTGAAAAGGGTCAGAAGTCGCCCTGGAGGGGCGGCGAGCATGAAGAGGACCTCCGACTGATCGCGGAAGGGCGGCAGCCCTCCCGTTTGATCCGGAGCAGCTCTTCGAACTGATGGGGAAAAGATCGGCCATTAATATGGCCCATCACTAAGCCGTTACCAGCCAAGGCCAAAATTACTATCAAGCACTTCGAAAGCACCGTGGAGGAATTGGGTGAGATCTTACCTTCTTTGTATAGTATCCCAAGTATTTTCCTGCGAAAAGCCTCTTGAAATTTCTTCCCCCTGTGAGGTGAGAGGGAACGTTTTCCTCCCATCCTCTAAAATGGTGGCATCTGACTACTTGGGAAAATAAAGTCTTGAAAAGAACAACTAAGTATTTGGATTTGCATCTTTTTGATATTTGGGGACCCAAAAAGTTCCTATTTTCATGGGGATCTGTTACCTTATCTACTTGTAAAAAAGATGAAAGGATAAAAACCCAGCCTGTCCTGAAAAAGACTATAAATGCTATCGGGGACATCTTGTGGCAATGTTTGGTACAGCAAGTGAATATTCTTGACCAAGAGACCTGCTTACAGCCCAGACCTGTCCTTGGTACTATCTAAGAGAGATAAAAAGCCGAGAGAACAGCTGGGCAGTGAAATTGGCTTTTAGGAACTGTGGAGGTGAACACTTACTGACTCTTGTTTAAAAAATAGCCTCCACTAAAGCACCATTCATAACTATCTCAAAAATGGAGGAGTACTAGCAACAAACTTCATCTAATACTTGAAAAAATTCTTGAAGCTACTGAGATAATTAAATCTAGACTGAAAGACAAAGGCGCCAGCTTAAACCTACAAAATGAAACCCTGATTCCAATTAAAGAACTTACAATTCAAAAAACAACAGAAGTGGAAGAAATTAATACCAAGACAGAGGACGTTAAAGAACAACAAGTACAACGTACTGAAAATTTTGACAACCAAACCCTGATTGCAACTAAAGAATCTAAAACCCAAAAAGCAACAGAAGCAGATGAAAGTAATACCAAGATGGAGGGTGTTAAAGATCAACAAGTACAGCACACTGAAAACCTAGACAACCAAACAACAACCATAAAATTGGACATGACTTTTTATTTAAACCAGAAAAAACCTGAGGAAGAAGACCAGACTGAATTGAAGATAAATACACTAGAGCAAATATGGAGACCTGAGCCACCAGGGCAACAATTTAACGATTATAAATGGGCCAGTTCCTCTGGAAAATTAATAACCAGATGGTCTCCTTTGATTCAAATCACATGTGCAAGAATGAAGGGAGATCTATCTGATGATTTAAAGGCATTGATATGGAAGCCTGGTTGGCATAAAAAGAAAGCTAGAGTTAGATTTAAAAAATGGAGTCTTCTGATTTATGACAGAAGATCCTAATGTCTCAACTAATGAGCTAAAGGGAGATTTTGAGATGAAGGGAAATGTGATTATAGATTTAAATATTGTTGGAAAATGATAAAAAATAAGGGATTAATTGGCTTAATATTTAGATTCATAAGGGAAATGAAAATTAACTATTGGAAATAGCTTCGAATTATTTTTTAGCCCAGATAATACAGATGATGGATTTGAGACAATTAAGGACACTCTATTAGTAAGTGGTGATGTACTAGGATGAGAAATAGAAAATTAAGAATATATTTAAGTAAATAATATGTATATCTTACATATTATAACTTTTATGTAGTGAAATAAAGGAAATTTGAGTTACTCGAAACTTAAATATTATGGATGTTAAAGGTTAAATTGGAATACCGTAATTAAAAATTAGGTAAAATTTAAAAACAGGATATGGATATGTAAAAAAATAAGCAAAAATATATTGATAAATGTAATATACCTTTTCCCCCACCAATGGCAGTCCGTCCTTGATTGTGCACATGTGTCTATTTTTCTGGAACCATTCATCTGTTTCCAAAGTTTTCCGGAATTCAATTCCGGATTGGCTACCCAGCTGCGGCTTTAATTTATCTTGGGCTCTGGTGGTTACTGGCACTGCCAGTTGTGATTCTGCCATAAGTGGTTTAGAATCGGTGGCTCGTGTGCTATTATATTGGGACATGCAAGACAGTGCATCTGCCAAGAAGTTCTTCCCCCCCCGGCAAGTGCTTGAGCGTGAAATGGAATTGGTGAAAATGCTGGGACCAGCGGGCTTGCTTGAGAGTGAGCTTCCTGGGTGTTTTCAAGGTTTCCAGGATTTTGTGGTCTGTCCATACTTGAAAAGGGATTTTATTCCCTTCAAGGAACTGGCGCCACATAGGTAATGATCAACGTATCCCGTATCTCCCACACAGGCCAGCACTGTTCCGTTTTGGTGAGTTTCCTGGATGTATACACACATGGTTGCAATACCCCTTCATCGTTTTCTTGTAATAGTACAGCCCCCACTGCCACATCACTTGCATCCGCCTGTATTACAAAGGGCTTATCCGTGTCTGGATGCCTTAGTACAGGTTCGGCAGAAAAAAGTCTCTTTAATCTCTCAAATGCTGCTTGGCATTCCATTGTCCATTTTAGTGGCTGGCTAGGTTTCACTGAGGATTCTCCCTTCATTTTTAGTAAGTTCGTGAGGGGCAGGGCTATTTGGGCAAATGAGGGGATGAATTGGCAATAAAAGTTTGCGAAACCCAGGAAACTTTGCAGCTGCTTTCTTGTGTGAGGTGGTGCCCATTCTAGTACTGCTCTGACCTTCTCGGGATCCATTTCAATGCCCTGTGGGGATATGCAATAACCCAGGTAGTCTATTCTTTCCTGGTGGAATTCGCATTTCGATAATTTGGCATATAGGTGGGCAGCTCGCGGTTTCTTTAAAAACGCTCTGACCAGGTTGACATGTTCCTCTTTGGATTCGGTGAAGATAAGGATGTCATCTAAATAAACCAGGACCCCCTTAAATAGGTGCTCCCTTAGTAGCTTGTTGATTAATTGCATAAATACTGCGGGTGCCCCTTGTAGTCCAAACGGCAAAACTTTGAATTGGTAGCACCCATTGGGCAATTAAATGCAGTTTTCCATTCATCCCGTTCCTTAATTCTAACATGGTAATACGCTTCCCTTAGATCTAGTTTAGTAAAAATTCTTCCTTTCGACAGGTGGGATAACATGTCCTTCATGAGGGGTAGGGGATATAGGTTGCTTTCACTGATTGCATTCAGGGTGCGGTACTCCACGCACAAGCATAAAGTGCCATCCTTCTCTCTAAAGAGGACCAGGGTGGCTACTTTAGGCTTGGCAGGTTTTTATTTATGAATCTTTCCATTTCCTCCTTCTCCTTAGGGCTCATAGAGTATAGTCTGGGCTTCGGGAGTTTTGCCTCGGGCTTGAATTCTATGGCACAATCCGTGGGTCGGTGAGGGGGAAGCTCATCTGCCCTCTCCTCACTGAAAACTTCAGCAAGGTCTCGGCATTCCTCTGGTATTTTGGGCAGCCCCTTTTCTTCTCCCATTGATGCTTTCTCCATTCTTAAATTTGGTAGGATTCCTTGGGGTTTTAAGTCCGTAGGGTCCCCCTTCGGGAAATTGATTTCTGTCATCCTCCAATTTACCCAGGGGTTCCATTTCTTTAACCATTCCAGCCCTAGAATCACTGGGCATTCCATGCCTGGGGTCACTACAAACGTTATGTTTTCCTCATGGTTTCCCAGGGATAGGTGGACTGGTAAAGTGGCTAGGGTAACTGGCATCCCCCCTGCTATGGACCCATCTAACTGGCCAAATGAGATTGGTTGTTTCAGCCTCCTCACTGGAATGCCCAAGTTCCCCACTAGCGTCGGGCTAATGAGGCAGTGGGTGCAGCCAGAGTCTATTAAGGCTTTCACTTTGTCAGCTTCAGGCATAAAGGGAGCTAATATAGTCACTGTCTTGAGGAGGGGTGCAATGGGTCTACTTACCAGGGGTTCACCCTCTGAGCTGTCATCTGAGGTGTCTGCCAGCCCTACGGTGTAGGCTGGAATTCCCTCCCCATGTTGGGCAGGGGTTGGGGACTCCACAGCCTCTATCGCCCTCATGGCAGGTTCTTTTGGCTTGGCTGGAGACTTCCCAGATTTCCTGGCCGTTGATTAGTCTGGGTTGTGCTGAGGGGCTTTTGAGCAGCATTCTATAGCCCAATGCCCCTCTCTCCCACATTTGAAACAGCCCATTGACATCTTGGCCGTAGCCCATGGTTTCGCTGGCTCGCATGCCGGCTCAGGCGGCAAGCGGACCCATGGTTTTCCTTGGCAGTGCCTCTTCAGTAGGTAGATCTCTGCTTCCTCTGCCAGAACATACCTGTCATGGTTCCGAAAGATGTTCTTGCTTGACAGTACCATTCATCAAGTTGGTGTGGGTCCCCCCGAGGCAGGCAAGCATCATACAGGTCGTAATTTAGGCTGTCTTTGAAATGGCTAAGGAGGATGTCTTCCGGCCAGTTCAGCTTGCTGGCAATGGTCCAGAATTCTTTTCTTTTTTTTTTTTTTCCAAATTTTTTTATTATTTTTTCATCATAAAAAACAATCATAATCCAATAAACAAAATAAAAAATAAAATCCCCCCCCCCAGACTTCCCAAACCTAGTCCCAGGATAATATTCATATATAAGTAAACAAATACTAATATCTCTAACTCCACAAAATATCTTAGTCTACATGAAAAGATAGAAAGAGTAAACAAAATAAGAGAATCTAAAAACCTAAGTTATATTCTACCAGTCTATACTTCTTTTGAATATAAACAATCCATCTTCTCCATATTAATAAAAATTGTTCATTTGAATAATTCTTCAAATAAGCCGAAATCTTTGCCATTTCAGCAAGATTCAAAACTTTCAATCTCCAGTCTTCCATTGTAGGCAGAGTTGGGCTCTTCCAATTTTGGGCTATCAACAAACGAGCAGCAGTTAAACAGTAAAGCAACAGATTTGTCTCTTTTACATCTAAATCTTGCACAATACCTAGAAGAAACAGCTGTGGGAGAAAGATAATCCTTTTTTTAAAAATTTGCTGTAGGTTCCACCACAATTGTATCCAAAAGGCCTTAATAACCTTGCAAGTCCACCACATATGAAAAA